GGGCTATGTTCCACTATGCTTCCAGGTCAGCAGCAGGGAATTGGTTTGGAAATGGAGCAGCTAGGACTGGAACCAGCACCCACTGGAATGATGGCATCCCTGGTGGAATGTCAACCTGCAGCAGGAGCCCCCCTCCTGCAGTCTTAATGTAGATGATTCTGTAAAATCTCCTTACTGGCTCTAATGTGTTTCCTGGCTCCAGACATCAATCTCAGTTACACATTTGTCATTTTATACAGAAACAAATGACATAACTTCAAATTAGTGCTCTCCCCATAACTGACACGTTCTCAAGATTCAGCCAAATCAGATTCTTCTCCAAATACTATTTTCTATTGTTTTGTTTGCTACTGTTAGTTTTTAAGATATCCAGGCTTCTGAATTAAATTCACAAATGTTAATATTTGCCCTCTAAACCCGCTGCTTTTGTGGACTTCTAGGTTTATTAACAAATGTCTTTGAAAATCTAGTTTGTTTTGTTCATTTGCACTACTTTTAATGTGTGTAGATTTCCCCTTTTCTACCAGAAATAGTCACATTTCTAGTTCCAAAGAAACTTTTTAATAATGGAAGACTTTGATATCTTGAGAGGCCATTAAATACAGTATCTTAAAATATCTTTCAGTTATATACTTTATGTTAACAAACAGACAAAGGGAACTTGAAAAACATCATGTCCAAATCTGCGAAACAGTGAAAATGTGAGATGGAGAAGATGTTAACGCTGTGATGTTGGCAGACAGAGGAGACACCTATATTTATAGACTCGCTGTGTTATGAAAGAATTAGCCATTTGGTTTTCCTTGTGTGATAGACTAATTTACACAACTTGTTTTAAAAAGCTTCAAGAACAGAGATGGAATTTTGCACACAGCAAATATTGAATTCTGTTTCAGGAATCCCTGAAAAGTCCATGCAGAGACAGAGAAACATCTACTTTGTCTGACCCAAGCACCATCACGACTAAATATGTTTTCTATATCAGGAAAAAGAGACAGAAGAATCATCTCTACAAACGAGGCGTCCCAGTACAAACCAAGCAACATGAGGAGCCTGTGCAGATCCCACAAGCCACTTCTTCCAGCATCACTGGTTCAGCTCTCAGCTTCGTCTTACATGTGAAACGGTGTCACCAATTCCCAACAGAGAACAAACGGAAGTGCATTCATCTGGCACATCTATAAGTGTTAGACCTTTTCTCTACAGGTCTGGATTGGATTTTAAAAAATTTTAAAAAACAAAAAATAACAGACTTTCCTTACTCCCACTTCTCAACAATTTCCAAACTGACTTGCAAATATATTGCTCCTGTTACAATGCAGCATATGGCTGTGGAAATGTGTATAAACATCTCTGAACACAGATTACATATAAATGTAATTAATTTCCACTGCTATATTTTCCAAGGAGGAAATGTCACCTGTGGCATGTTAAAGCAAGTCAAAATAATACTAAGCATGTTACATGGAATTCTTATGAGATGTATTTAATTTATGCACATAAAACTTAAGTGTTTCATTAGCGTGAGGGTACAGCGGTACATTCCAATGCGTATTTCAGAAAATCAAGACGGAATACCTATAATCTCATTCATAATTCTACTAACCCAACAGGTGACTTGCAGTGGTGACCCAGCTGGGCATTTTCAAGAACTGTCGGAAAGACATCTACGCTACACACATTCCCCCACTGTCAGTGGTACAGTCAGAAAATGCTACACAGGCTCTCAGTTTTTAGCAGATGATATATTTTTATGGCTAAGAATATGAAAAGATGCCTTCATAAATGTGTGTGTAGACTTCTGTATTGTATCTCCACACTATGGCTACCTGATATGCATTAAGAAAAAAATGCCACACTACTACATAATTGGCTATGACCACATGAAGATACATGTTAAGAAACAATTGTTAATCATTAATGATGGAAAGTTTTCCTCGCATAGACCACATAGTCAAGGTAGAGCTCCAACCTTCCTTTCATTATAATATTCCAGACTGGGAGGAGCAAGTGTTTACCCCATTGGTTAGGCTGCTCGTGTACCACAACAGAAATGCCTTGGTTCGATTCCGGTCCCCAGTTCCCAACTCCGGTCCCCAGCTCCCTGTGATGGGAGGCATGAGTGATGGTTCAAACATCTGGACTTGTGCTAGGCACCCAGCAGACATGGATTGCACTCCCAGCTCCTGGCGTGTGTGCTCAGCTCAGCCCATAAACTGCAGGTGCTAGAGAGTTGAAGCAACACACGGCAGCTGTCTATCTTTATATCTACTTACATGCCTCTCAAATAATAATAATAATAAAATTAAGAGACTGAGATAGAAATCATATAGCTGATCCAAACATTTAGCATTTTTAACAATACTCACATCTTACTATGCCCGAAAAAGTTTCAAAAAATTGAATAGTTTGATTTGACATTATGTTGATCTGTTTCTCACAATTAGATAATGTCTAAGGCAAGCCCATAATGCAGTAATTAATTCTGTTTACTTCACTGTTCTTTCTCCCACCAGGAAACCATCTTCCGTAAACAAACAGATAAAAACATTTATACAATTATGTCGATTCGATTCGAGTGATCAGCTGCTTTAAAAAAATACTCTTTCCCATAAGAAACCAGTAGGCGGTGCTAACTCTAAGATGTTAACTCCAACCATCTTAAACCCCAGAAAACATAAAACCAGGCAGCCAGTTTCAAGCGTTGTAAAATTCCACTGTAATTACACAGGGCAGTTAGGACAAAGTGAATATCATGGATTCCCGTTAAATATAAGTATATGACACACAGAATGACAAAAGCAAATGTAAATATGAGATGAACAAAATTTCTTTGGTCTTCACTCACAAAGTTTAAAGTGCAATTAGCTCTCTGCTTCTATATTAAAATTATGAGAATATTTGGTCCTATTGTTACTTAAAACTCATTTGAAAACATCATGCAAGACATTAGAGCTTTGCCCCAACTTTTGATACACAGTGGACTGATCTTATTGTAGCAACTGCCTCACTTAATGAAAATTCAGTGTTGAGCACACTCTGGTGATATTTCTCTCTCTCTCTCTCTCTCTCTCTCTCTCTCTCTTTCTCTTCCTGTGTATTAAAAGAACTGAAAGACAATGCACACAACTTACAAAAATCATACATTTTCAAAATAAGACCTTTTCTACTTAGACACATCGTTAGAGTTCTTAGGAGCAAATAAGATGGCAAATAACTTTTTAAAATGTTTAATGTTGAACCATGTGAAAGAGTATGTGAACGTTTAGCCAAGCTCTCCCTCCACAAAACAAGGAAATCCAAATTTAAGACTACATGACATCATGCTGGCCTCAAACCTTGACCTAAGTCCTTGAAGATATCCAGTGGCCACCGTGACCAAAAACAGCACATCACCAGACTGCCTTTACAGAGGAAAGCTAGGCTGCATACAAAAAGAGCTCATTATATGCAACTTCAAAGACCTCTGAGACCACGGAACAGAATGTGAATTTCTAAAAAGCACACTCTTCTAGAAATCACAACTAAATTTCAGTCCTCTACACACCAATGACCCTTTGCACTCCTTCCACCACAAAGAGTAAAAACATAAGGGTGAAAACTTCATTTCTCAAACTGAGATCACAGCTTTCGTGAAATATCTCCCACACAACGTATTGAGAGCATTGAAAACAATTCTGAGCACTTCCATACACTGGAGTTAGTCTTAACATCTATGGACAACGGACAAGAAAACTCAATCTGAGAAGTAAAAAGTCATTTAAATTACTTTATGCTTTTTTAGAAGAATTCAAAAATAAACAGAGGATAAACTTAAGCTGGGACTCCTTATTTAAGGGAGGAGGGGAGAAAATCAAAGCTTCAAAACCCATTCATTTAGGTAATAGTCACTCTGGATTTAAAGTATAAGTTTACTGAACGTATCCTGACAGCACATTGTTCCGCAAATTCTGTCACCGTGAGAAACATAGAAAGGCCATTTCATTGCCAACTGGTAGCGTCGCTGAAAAGTAATGCTAGACCGCACTGAAAACAAGTGACAGAACTCTCAACAAATATCGAACACATCCAACACAGAATACTTCAAGACCACCAACACACTGACCTGTATGCCACCATCACCAACTTCTCACCTCCAATGATTCCCAGTTCTCAAGACCACTATCAGGTGGCTTAAAAGAGGAGGAGGGGATCGCCTTATAAAACCTTAAACACGATTTTGTTTCTTGAGGTGAACTCTTATTAATGCAAAGGAGCAGTTTCACCCTCAATGTGAAACCCAAGTGATCCTCATTCCATTGAGTCCTGTTGCCATCTCCTCCAAGTCGCCAGAGCAAGCACTTCAAACCCACGCAACAGGACAAGCGAAAGCAAAGATGCAACAGAACCGCCAAGCCCTTCTTCTCAAGCGGCAAACCAGGCTGGGAAAGATCTACCGCGTTGTTTACTCATCGCGAAGAGGAGGAGCAGGAGTTGAGCAGGCAAGGGCGGAGGCCATCCTCACAGTTCCGGAAACGTCTGGAGCTCCGGCCCGCGTGGCCAGGAGCCAGCCGCGCGGAGCCTTGCCGGGCCGGGCTGCTCCGCCTGCCTCCCGCCGGGACCACCGCGCTCGGAGGAGTCGCCCGGCCCACCCGACGGCCAGCACCCACCGCCGGCCGCTGCTCGCCAAGTGACCCTCGGAGAACTTACCCGCGGGCACCGCGTTCCCGGCCGGCACCGCCCGCTGCGCCCACGCCTCCCGCCGCGCGGATGACCCGGGCGCAGTCAGACGGGGGAACTGTATTTTGCGCACAACCGAGGAAAAAAAAAAAAATCCCGAGGCCGTGAAGGGACTTTGATGCTCCGAGGTTCCCGGTGCGGATTTCCCCACCGCGGGCTCAGACACTGCCCGGAGACGCGCGGACACACACAGACACACACGACACGCACACCAACATTTCTTGGCCAGGACCAGCGCTGTCATTGCACACCCGGGAGACGCCTCCGAGGGGACCAAGTACCTGCTCTCTGCGAGCTGCTCAGCTGTTCACTTCATCCTCCGTTGACAAGGAAACCAAACCGCACTTCATTTTTTTTTTTTTTTCAGAAAAACCTTCCACTGCCATCATTTGAAAATTGATTTACGGAGAGGGGAGAGGGAGGAAGAAGGGATAATATAGATATCAGGATATCTATCTTAAAATTATCTCTTTTTTTTTTGGAAAAAAAAAAGTCACCTGTGCAAAAGTCACAGTTAATTTAAAGGAGGAAAAAATACAGTGCTTGGTTTAAAAAGCATCCCAGTCACCAGCTGCAAGAAAAGTTTCATGTTATCAACGGGGTATCAAAAACGGGAGGGGGGGAAAAAAACGGATATGTTCTCACCGGCTTCCAAAAAAGGGCACAAAAATATAAAATTAGCGTCTTTGCTCAGTGGTTTGCATCAAGATTACAAGAGCACAAACTTGTAAACATTGCCGTGAAATCCCACCTATACAAAAATGTTAGCAGAAAAAGAGTACGCCAAAAAGAAAAAGGAGTTAGAAACATGCTTTTCCTCATTTTTAACCATGGGGGAAAAAATAAACACCATACTTTTCATCGCTTTTTTTCCATAAAACCAGTTGCATATTGTGCTGGACTTGGGAGTCGCTCCCCGTGGGCACAGTCGCCGCGGACTCCTGGACACAGCTCCTCGTCTACTGACCGATCGCATGCTAGAAAAACTTGGGTTCAGGAAAAGGCTCAAAACCATGCTCCTCCAGCTTTCCCAAATATAAACAATAATCAAAGAAGTGGAAAAAAAAAGAAAGAAGAAAAAAAAAAAAGAAAAAGAACAAAAACAAAAACAAAAAAAGGGGGACCAAAAAAAAAAAAGGAGAACAAGAATGCCAATGAGAAGGTACTCACCGAGCGGGAGTAAAAGGTTGGAATAAAAATGAGATTTAGTATAAAATACAGTATGGCGGTGGAAGAAGGAATGAAGCGCGTTTTTTTCTCTCAGTCTCTGCCTCAGGCACTGACACGTGACTCGGAGCCAGGCTGACTTGCAGGCGAGCGGGGAAGCTCCGGGGCTGCGATGGGGAGGGAGAAGCCCCAAAGTCCGGCAGGCGAGACGGCGGCTGCGAGCGGCGGCTGCGAGCGGCTCCCGGCGAGGCTCTGCGCCGTGCGCCCGGACGAGCAGGTGCCCCTCACGCTGAGGCTGAGCGCACGCACACACGCACACGCAAGACGGGCAGGGCGCCGGCGAGAGGGGGAGCGGTGCGGGGCTGGGCCGGAGGCGCGCAGCTGCCGCTCCCGCCGCTGCTGCCGCCGCTCCTGCTCCTGCTCCCGCCGCTCCCGCCGCTGCTGCTCCTGCTCCCGGCAGCTCCTGCTCCTGCTCCCGCAGCTCCTGCTCCTGCTCCCCGGCTGCTCGGCTGCTGCTCCCCCGCCGGCGCCACCCGCCTCCGCCGCGGGCAGAGTGGGAAGGAAGCCCCCAGTGCAGGTGCACAACTTGCCCGCTCACCTCAAAGTTGTTGCTGGCCACTTCTCTGTGGATTCATCTCGGTGTCATCTCCGGGGAGTTACCTCGGGGGAGAGCTCCCACCCCTCGCCTCTCTGGAAGTTTGACTGTCCAAGCCCAGTTTAGCTCCTAGCTTCTTGGCTTCCTGGTTTCCCGTGTCTCGTGCCTCCCTCGCTCTCTCCCCACCTTGATCCGTGTCTCTCCCGTCAGCAAGACACTGGAGTAGGGGTGTGTGTGTGTGTGTTTCGGGGGGAGGGGTGTCACAGACAGAACCACAATCTTTACCGCCATCCAAGCAACGCGGCTTCTTTTTTTTTGGGGGGGGGGAGGCAGGGGGTCTTCGTGGAGGGATGGTTGTTTGCAGTTTGAAAGAACAAGATCTTTAATAAAGGAAACCCCGTGTTTTTTTTTTTTTCCAGGTTGCACAGCAGGTGCAGGTGGGGGCGTGGGTGCCGTTCATTTATTCCTTCTCGGACTAGGCATTGTTTGTTTTGTCTGCGTGTGCGCGCGTGCTTCCCAGCTGGTCTGGAAGGCTCCGCGGGGCCGTGCTCCATGGCGGAGACTCCTGCCTGACTTGTTCAAGTTGTTGGTTCTAGCTGGAAGTCAAAGCGAAGGGGCAAGGAAAACAAGTGAGTCCATTGTGTGAGTGCTCGCCGGGATGGAGCAAGCCCTGGGCAGTCGAGAGGGGGAGACGTGCTCCCACGGTGGAGAGGCGGCCGCAGCACGCGCGGCCCAGGTGGCTGAGCGGTGGAGGCTGAAGGTGAGGCTGAGAGGGAGGGGTTTCTCCACCCAGCAGCTGGCTCAGGATGCCTTTCGCCAGAACAAAGATGCCAGCAGCCAATCATCGGATGCGTTGGGCTTCTTCTGTTGCTGCCTGTTGAAGAATCAGCTTACTGAGCGCTAGAACGCTTCAGTTCGACCATTGCCCTGTGCTGCTCGGAAGCCGGACTGTGTGGAAATAATTAGCATCTCTGTGTGTGCGCGCGCGGATGAACAATTAACACAGTTCTTCAGTTCACAGATCCCTGCTCCCGATCTCTATCTCACTGTTTCCAGTGCTGACATTTAAGATAAAATGCTTCCATCAGAGATGATCTAACCCGGATAAATTCTGAAAATTAAGTACACATCCATTACAGAGAGAGCTCCAATAGCAAATATGTTTCTCAAACATTCTGGTCAGAATTCATTGGCTAAATAAAGTTTTAACCCGCCATTTAAATAAAACATTTGAAATAACCATTAGAATGCCATTAAATATTTATCTTGTTGGATTGCCAACTGCATACCCACTTATTACACATACTCTCTAGCGAGGATTGCTAATTAGAAATGCTGACGGAGAGAGATGAATGCTTCAACATGGCTTTGGTAACTACACAAGCTTACAGTTCCATTCGGAATCACAGACTTAAGCTGGATAATGAAAATACTCCACTTTTCATTGTAAAATGTGTCAGCCTTCATGTGTTAAAGTGACATCTCTTCAGTGTGGCCTTTTCCCCCCTTGACTCACGAATTCATCTTATCTAACCTCGAAACCTAGGCTTGAGTTTTTTTTTTTTTCTTCAGATTTCCTTTCCATGTCAAAAGTAGCTGATTCCAGTCCTTTTACTAGAAAATTCTGTCTTCATGTATTTACTTTTTCAGGGATGAAAGGTGTGAGAAACTTCACTGGTAAAATGAGTTTTGAACCTTTCCACCAGGCTGGGCAATGCCTGAACTTTCAAGAATTATTCAAGAAGAACTTTGAAAAACAAGCTGTTTAGAATTACACTGCAGTCATGGCTGTCAGCCAATCACAGTGATTGTCAGGCTTTTATTATTCAATAAAATGACTCCCCTTTTTTGTTAAATGCAGTGCTGCTGAGGAAAAGCCAAATGGCAAAATCCTCCACCACCACCCCCCCCCCAATACTTACATAACTGCAGGGCTCTTCTCAAAATATTCCACTACCGTTTATTTACAATATCCCATTTTTTGCATCTTTAAGTTTCATCACCACTTTAAAAATGGAGGTAAACAAAGCAATGCGTAGCCTCCCATTCATTTAATTCCTGGTACAGCTTTATGACACTGAAGCAATCATTTTGAAGATGACGCTAGTTCTATGAGAAAGATTAAATAATATTTCAAAGGAACCTCTTGCCAGTAGAGGAAGGATGGACTACGGGGGAAAAAATGTCTAGTTTTACAGCTACATGAAATATGTAAGAAATATGAAATGTCCTGAAAAGTGTTACTAATGTCAATTTACAGATGTGTGACTCCCTGAAGTTCAGCACATCTAAAACATTTTTGTGAGAATGCATTCATTTATGTTGTTTACCGCCAATGACAATTGTAGTTCATTTAATTTGATTCAGGGTTTGGATTTCATTAAAAAATAAAAAAGCAGAGAAGGAAATGACTATTTAAAATACAGAGGTGAGGAGGTTAAATTTTTCTTAGCAAAACAGTCCTAACAAAAGTTGAGGCATGTCCTGAGAAGTTAACTATGGAAATTCCTAAAAACATTCAGTATAACTGAAAAATATTCTAAATTTGAGATAAGACACTTATAATGACTGAAATTTTTTTTAAGGTTTATTTATTTTATTGCAAAGTCAGATGTACAGAGAGGAGGAGAGACAGAGAGGAAGATATTCCCTCGGATGGTTGATGGTTCACTCCCCAAGTGGCCACACAGCTGGTGCTGAGCTGATCCAAAGCCAGGAACCAGAAACTTCCTCCAGGTCTCCCACACGGGTGCACAGTCCCAAGGCTTTGGGCCGTCCTCGACTGCTTTCCCAGGCCACAAGCAGGGAGCTGGATGGGAAGTGGAGCTGCCAGGATTAGAGCCCATATGGGATTCTGGCAGTTCAATCGAGGATCTTAACCACTACGCTATCGTGCTGGGCCCAGTGAGTGAAATTTTACTAATTTATCAGTGATGATGAATATGTCATGAGTAAAATCAGAAAAGAGGCAGCATCAGTATTCTGTGTAGTTTTAGAAACATTTTTATCTCAGCCCGTATACTGTAAGAAAGAATACTAATTTATGGAATAAAGAATAAATAATAATTTAATGCACAGAATTAAATGTATATCAAAATTATCATTTATGTACATTCAATATAGAAAGTTAATAAACTATTAAGAAAATAAACATAAGGCAAGTTGATCTGTCTACCAATATTATTATATAGATGTGTCTGCTTTGAAATAAATATAGACCCATGATAAAGCAAGAAAGTGAGAGGAAATATACACAGACAGAACCTGAGTTTCTTTTTTTTTTTCAGAGTTTCCTTATAAATAATCGAGGTGCAGAGAGGAAAAGTAGTGAGACATGATCGGTGGAATGCCTCCTTTGTTACTATTTGTTCATTTACGATTTGACAATCATCCATTTTAAAGAAAACAAAAGTTTCTGTTAAGAAATTTAGAAACAGTAAATTTATCCAAGGCATTTCTTTGGGTTTTAAGAGTAAAGATGAAAATGTGTTCATCCTACCAACAGAACCAGGTATCCAAAAACAATCTGAACGTTAAAAAGCCTGAAGGGGATATAAGGAATATTTTAAAATATGTTCGTAGAGTATAAACTTTTAAGAAGTCCGAGGAAATGTTATAAAAAAGAATTTATGCACAATGAAACAAAGTCTGGTTGGGAAAATTCACAAAGGAAAGAAAGTCTTCCAGTTAATAGCTATTCCCTGTCTATAAGCCGACTGATGTGTGTAACATCAGAAAATCGTCATAATAAGAAACTGAGGTTCTAAAGGTCATGGGACTAACACGGAGTAAGGACTTTCCACGCCTGTGGAATGCTGAAGAGCAGTGATGGAGCGCTCCTGGTCAGGGCACACATTGTCCTTACTGCTAAGACTCTGAAAAGACAAGGCTAGGAAAAGGGAAGGCGAGTGAGCGGTAAGGATGCAAAAGGAAATGGCTGAGATGAACGTTGTCAGCCTGGAAAACCTAAACACTTGGGAAATATTAGGCAAGTGCCAACACTGGACAGTTTTAGGTCACACAGATATGCCCTAAAATTCATGTGATGTTAGTACATTACAAAGTCCCTGCAGATAGAGTAATAAAGTTCTTTAGTGTGATGACGTTGTCTGAAAATCCCAGAACACATTCGCTGAGGTTAACAAAAGCTCTTCACTAGAGCAAATGATTTTTCTAAAGAGCGAATACCCAGCAAAATCTATCTTCTTTGAGTCTAAAAAATTAATAACGTTGCTTATCTAAATGATTCAGATTGGCTGCATTGCAAAATTAATTTTAAGAGGAAGAATCACTAAGATGTATGTGAAGAGAGCTGACATTTTATTGCCTACCCACAAGTTCATAAACTCATCAGTAAGTTGATTCTTTTGATGTCACGATTCACTTAATAATGTTACAGAGATTTTCTTGTTTATTATTGTTTTCATTTCTAAAACATTAGGTTTAGACACTTGGTATCATAAGTACCGAAAGTCATTTAATGAAGCTCTGTACTATGTTTCACTTTAGTGTTATTCATGTGTTTCTTCATGGAGTTCAAGAGAAGAATGTGCAGAGATGACCATCGGTCTTAGATTCCTATCAGCCAGTGACACTCAAGGCGCAGACGTGGGCTTCTGGCGCAGTGGTTCTCCTACCACTTG